ATGCCAGCCAGCCCCGCCCCCTGGTGGGCTGAGCTGGCCACACACACACACACACACACACACACACACACACATAAATAAATAAATAAATTTTTAAAAAAAAAAAGTGGGGAAACGTGGGACTCACAAGGTAAGTATGAAATGGGATGAAACTATTGTCAGCCAATAAAAATACAAGCATAAGTGCTCAGGAAAAATAGATTAAATCAGGACCAAATGGAGAAGCAAGTCACATAAACAAGGGAACATGAATACAGAACAGGAGCTTTTCCTGTCAGAGGTTGAGTAAATGACCCTTCCTAGCTTTTTCCAGGTGATTCATACCTATTTAGAATACCAATCCCTGACATGTGTTCCTACAGAGGTATATGGCTGTATTCATTTGATCTTTGGTTTTGAGGTAGGCCCACAGCTGCAAAGTATCTTGTCTTCCACACCGGTTCCCTCAAAGGCTCAGCCCTGTGTACTGCCCATAATACTTTTATCTACTATTTCTATCTACTCAGTTGCCTACAATATTACCCCCTCTGAAGAAGCAACCCAAACTGTCATGAGGGAATAATAGGTGATAACTTCTCTGGCTTCTTCAGGCTGAAAGGGGTCATAGTTGTCGACTGGCAATCAGAGATACTCTCCAGAGGTTCTGTCTCAAGGCCCTCAATAGACATCAGTCATTTTTATCTTGGGTAGGGGTATAGTTCCAAATTTGGCAGAGACAAATCCAAATAAACAATTAAGTATGCATGCACCAAATAATAAATAAAATCAACAAGATATTTATGAATACAGTCAACAAAGATTTCCACCAAGAGATACTGGTAATGTTTCCCATAAAGATAAGGAATAGGGAGAGGAAGTTTCAGAGTCTGACATGTCATTGATCTGTCATCTAATGTCTTTAACAGTTATTGAGATATAAGCGGAAAAATCAGAAATGTATACACAACATTTAGCTTTTACAATATTATAAGCATCCTCTTATGCTGCTATTAGAATGTCTAATGTGTCCTGATTTCGGAGGATGGCCTGTTTCATTAATTTCACTTTTTTATTGAGGAGAAAGACCAGCTGTGGTGTCATTTAAGGCCCACTGAGTGTAGTTGGTTAATGCCTTGATATATGTCATATAAGCCTCTCTAAACAAGATCTAGTGGATCTCAGTAAAAGGAATCTAGCATTTTTCTTATAGATATTATCTGTATGATTTCCTGGGGTCTGGTATCTTCTGAATAAGAACAAATTTTTTTGAGAAATTAGTGCACGTGTTACCAAAGCATGAGCGTTAGGAGCTGACAGAAAGGTTTAGAAACTGTTTTTATTTCATTTTTTAGGTATTTGGTAAAGGGTCTCACTATGCAGCTCAGACTTGTAGTAATCCTCCTGTCATCAGCCTCCCTGCCACTGGAATTACAGGTGTGTACTAGTACGCCCGGTCTTGGTGGCCTGCTCAGCAGTCCCAGGGTCAGGGCCAGCATAGCATGTGGTACTAGGGATTGAACCCTCTTCCCTGTGCCTATCTAGACAGACATTTAGTCCACTAAGCTATTTTGTCATCCCTTAGAAAATGTTTTTGAGGGATAGCAATTATATCCCTCTGGCTCTCAGATCCCTTTGATGATGGAGTCTGGCATTTTTTTGTAAGTCTCTCTAACTTTATAATCTCTAAATTTTTGATGACTTACAAAAACCACATTAACTTTATTTTGACCAACAAAACACTCTCTTAAATTTTATATATGAACAACAATAGGTATTATGTTTGTAAAAACCAGTTTCAGCATCATTTTGATTAGTTGCCAGCAGGATAAAATCTCTGCAGGATGAGAGAGCTGGCTTTTTAGGCATAACTAAAAGGAATGAGTGAAGAGAAAGTCATCCCAGTTACAGCTTAAAAGAGTCTTTTAATGACTTTTTGTTAAGGTATGATGACTAGGAGGAAGGTCAGGCTTGGAGGACAGAGAGGCCTGTGTCAATGTCCAGCAATAGGCTGGGTTTGTTTTGTTTTGTTCTGTTCTGTTTTTCACTCTAGTCCTGATTACTCAGAGTTCCTCCAAGGAGATGACAGGTGGAGAAGACAGTCCAGCCAGAGGGAGAAGGCAAGCCCAGGGACCTTCAGTATTACTAGATCACCTGGGAGGATGAGTCTGAGCTCTGGGGCATCCACCTCAGATGACAGTTTGACTTTCAGTAGTTGCCTTGGCAGTCAGGGCATGGCTTGGGGAACCTCTTAAGGCAGTCTCTCTTAAGGTGGCCTGGCTTTTGACAGCAGTAGAAGATGAACTTAGTCCTTGAGCTCTTCTTGGAGCTCAGAGAATCAAACTTAGGGTCTGTTTCTTTAAGGCCACAAACAAAGACATTCATTTTTTGATCTCTTTGTTTTCTCTCCCTGGTTTTCTGCCAGTCCTAATTATAGAATACCAAGGAAGCAATTTTTACTAGAGTATCACTTGAGCTATCTGGATTAAAAAAAAAATCTATCTTTTGTAGCTCTTTTCTAATATCTGGAGCTGAGTAATGAACTCGTCTTTAATAATAATCTGTCTCTCTATTGAATTAGGTAACTATATTTTACCAGGCCTCTAGTAAACATTTGAAGAAAGCAGAGGAATTTTCATCTTTCTCCTGATAAATAGCTGAAAATTTAAAATATCTAGTAGGCTTGGTTTTAGTCTTTCTTAGACCTTCAAGAATATGCACTTGAGCCCTTCCTGGGGTCATGATGGGCAGCAAGATGACGTCTGCCAGTTGGGTCATTCAGGCAGTCACGCCACATACACCATTAATAAGTTTCCCTGACAGAAGAGACAATCCTAAGCCCAGTCAGTGCATTAGAAGCTTTGAGACTGGCAGGGATCCCATCTCGCTCTTCTGTAATTTCACAGCATTCTAAAGGGAGTAAATCACCGGACTTGCTGGTGCATCAAGGTCCATCAGACACTGCAGAAATAACAAACCGCGACCTCAGAAGGACAGAAAGAAACTGCTATCTCAAGAGGAAGTGGAGTTCATCCAACATGGAGGTCCAGAATGATGACTGTGGCATTGCTTGTCTTCCAAAAAATTACCTTGATAATGAAGGACTTCCAAAATAACATGCAAGGGGCTGGGGAGATAGCTCAGTAGAATACGTGCTTGTCTGGCAAGTGCAAGGGCCTGAGTTCAATCCCCAGTTCCAAAAAAAAAAAAAAAAGAAAGAAAAGAAAAGAAGAAAGAAAGAAATCCAGCTGTGTGTCTGGTCAATACTTCATTGGCCATTGGCCTCAGGAGGAATTTACCAAAGAGATGCAGGGGAAACCTATTCACTGCGTTGAGTGGCAGCTGCTTTAAGAGCATGTAGCTACCTGGCAGAGTAACACTGTTTATCCAAGTTCTATAAAGGATAGTTAAAAGCCTGAGCAAGATTATCTAGCACTTATTATCAGAGTATCTTCCTATACACATAATGATAACTAGACCTTGGAAGAGACTAGGAAAGGTTGAAGAGCCTTCTTTAAACTAAATGTGTTTTGGTCCCATAAGTGCACTGATTTTGAAGATAGCTCCTTCTAGTGTCACTCAGAAATCAATTCTCTCCACTGTCTTAGGTTCAGCCTCCTAAGAGAGACTTGCCCAGAA